TATCACAAATCTTCAATGTATCAAAGGCAATATTGAATAAAGCAAAAATATTAAATGAAGCATCAAGATTTTGACTATTTAATGTTCCCAATAAAGGAATGAAAGATTAATATGGAAAGCAATTTTTGTAATTATGACACAATGAATCAGGTATGAAGAAATTTTGGATACATATGGCAACTCAAATGTATGAAAAGCTTGCTGAAGAATTCTTCCACAATAGTGATATCATCCTTTCTTTAACACATTGAAACGACGTCCCTTTTTACGCTAAGGTCAATGACTTAATCTTAGTTCCCCTTTCATGGATCACTGCCATGCTAAAAACTTCCCCCTTAATTATCTCCTTACATCTGATCTTCTTGCTATCATTGGCCTAAGTTGCTTTTTCAGGTTTTCAATTTAGACCTTGCCCCCACTTTTCTTTCTTTTCTTCTTCTTTTTTTTTTTTTTTTTGGTTCACATATTAGCAAGCTACAAATCCTCTGATAAGGACTTTAAATTGGCTTGCATCGTGGTTTAGGGTTCGACTAATTAGAAAGAAAGGATTAAATGGCTCAAAGTTCCCTTTTCCCATTAAACCCCTCGCTAACACTCTTCTCACCCCAGGTTCTTGATGTAGGACAATTTAGAAAGAAAATCATCAGGCTCTTATAAGTTAGATGATTGCCTTTTCTTTTGGCTCAAAAAGGGTTTCTAGGGATAATTTTCTTGTTCAATGGATAAAGAAGAATAGCCTTTCGTCATTGGATTCTTTTCTTACTCATCATGAACGATTTTCTTTACTTTGCCTAGACCGCCCCATTGGGTTTTCAGCCTAGCTCTCTTTTTTTCTTTTTTCTTTTTTTACATAGTATTTTTTGACAACATCTGCCTTCACCGAATGTGGGAGATCATCACCATTAGGATAAGCCTATAATAAAGCTCCTCCTGAAAAAGCCGCCTTCACAATGTAAGGACCATTGTAGTTTGGAGCAAACTTTCCCCTTGGATCCCTCTCACTAGGCTAGACTTTCTTCAAAACAACATCTCCTTCCTAAAACCTTCGAGGCCTGACCTTCTTATTATATGCTGCTACCATTCTTTTCTGATAACATTGTCCATGACAAAGTGCAACTAGTCTCTTCTCATCAAGGAGATTAAGATAATCTAACCGTTTCTGAATCAACTCTGATTCTTCCAATTCTGCTTCAACTAGAACCCTCAAAGATGGTATCTCAACTTCAACTGGTAAAATTGCCTCCATACCATAAACCAAAGAATAAGGTGTTGCTCTAGTGGAAGTTTGAACAGATGTTCTATAAGCATGGAGAGCAAAAGGTAGCATTTAATGCCAATCCTTGTAAGTTACTGTCATCTTTGCAAGGATCTTCTTGATATTTTTGTTTGCAGCTTCCACAGCTTCATTCATCTTAGGCCGATAAGGTGTAGAATTTAAATGTTGAATCTTGTGCTGCTTACAAATTGATGCCATCAAAGAATTATTAAGATTCTTTGCATTATCAGTGATGATTGTTTCTAGTTGACCATATCTGCAAATGATCTCCCTTTGAATAAATCGTGCCACCACTTTATTCTTCACATTTGTATATGCAGCAACCTCTACCCATTTGGAAAAATAATCAATTGCAACCAGAATAAACTGATGACCATTTGAAGCTTTTGGATTAATGGGTCCAATAACATCAATTCCCCACATAGAAAATGGCCAAGGAGCTACCATATTATGCAATGGAAATGGAGGACCTTTAATCCGATCTGCATAGATTTGACATTTGTGACATTTCCTCACATAGTCAATACAATCTGTCTCTATCTTCAACCAGAAATATCCTGCTCTGAGTATCTTTCTAGGTAGCATATGCCCATTAGCATGAGTTCCACATATTCCTTCATGAACTTCCACCATGATTCTTTTTGCCTCAATAGCATCAACACACCTTAACAATGTCATATCTGCAGAGCGCTTGTATAAGGTGTCCCCATTCAAGAAGTAAGACTTGGCCATTCTTCGAATTGTCTTTTTATCAATATTAGTTGCATGAATTGGATATTGATTATGTAAGATATATTGTTTGATGTCATAGTACCAAGGCTGGCCATCTATTTCTTGCTCAATCTCCATGCAATAAGCAAAGTTCTTATGCACATCAATCATAAGTGGTTGAATTTGATCTTCATTTGATATTTGCACCATGGAAGCCAAAGTTGCTAAGGCATCTGCAAATTGATTCTTTGATCAAGGCATGTATTCAAAAGAGATAAATCTGAACTTCTTAGTTTGAGAATCAAGGTATTGGTAATAAGGCAATAACTTCATGTCTTTTGTCTTCCAATCTCCCTTGATTTGAAATATGATTAGAGATGAATCTCCATAAACTTCAAGATCCCTAATATTCATATCAAGAGCCGCTTGTAAACCCAAGATGCAAGCTTCATATTCAGTGATGTTATTGGTCCAGGAAAAATCAAGCTTCACTACAAACGAAAAATGTTATCCTTTAGGTGAGACGAGAACGGCCCCCACTCCACTTCCGTTTTGATTAGCAGCTCCATCAAAATACATCTTCCAATTAGAAGTTTCATAATTGCTTTCTTCAATTGCCATGATATCCTCATCAAGAAACTCCCAATCAACTGGTTGATAATCTTCAACTGCATTTTCTGCAAGATGATCTGCAATGACTTGACCTTTTACTGCCTTTTGAGTAATGTAAATAATCTCAAACTCTAATAATAGCATGTGCCATCGAGCAATTCTTCCAGATAAAAAAGGCTTCTCAAATATATATTTGATGGGATCCATTCAAGATATTAGCCATGTAGTATTGGAAAGCATATAATGACGAAGCTTCTTAGCAATCTAAGCCAATGCACAACATGTCTTCTCTAGAGATGAATACCTACTTTCACAATCATTGAACTTTTTGCTAATATAATAAATAGCCTACTCCCTTCTGCCAGAATCAACATGTTGAGCCAAAACAGTCTCCATAAAACCTTCCAGCACAGTTATATAGAGAATCAATGGTCTTCCATCCATTGGTGGCACAAGAATTGGTGGACTCTTCAAATACTGCTTAATTTTGTCAAAAGCTTCTTGGCACTGATCATCCCACACACTAGGATTAGTCTTCTTTAACAATCGAAAGATTGGATCACAAATAGTTGTCATTTGGGCAATGAATTTACTGATATAATTTAGCCTACCCAAGAAACTACGCACCTCTTTCTATGTTTTTGGTGGAGGCATATCTTCAATAGCTTTGATCTTGGCAGGGTCTATCTCAATTCCTCTTCTACTAACAATAAACCCTAGAAGCTTGCCAGATGTTACCCCAAAAGTGCATTTTGTTGGATTGAGTCTCAGCTGATGCTTCCTTAATCTTTTAAACACGATTTTAAGATTCATCAAATGATCTACATTTTCTCCAAACCTTATTATTATGTCATCTACATAAACCTCAATGATTTTGTGAATGAGGTCATGTAACAATGTAATCATTGCTCTTTGATAAGTTGCCCCTGCATTTTTCAATCCAAATGGCATTACCTTGTAGCAAAAGGTGCCCCACAAAGTGATAAACATGGTTTTGATCTTGTCTACCTCCTTTATCTTGATCTGATTATAACCAAAATAACCATCAACAAATGAAAATTTAACACTTTTGGCAGCATTGTCAACCAACAACTGGATATGTGGCAAAGGAAAGTCATCTTTTGGGCTTGCTTTGTTCAAATCTCTATAATTCACACACATTCTGACTTTCCCGTCCTTTTTCGGCACAGAAACAATGTTTGCAACCCATTGGGGGTACATGGCTACTTTAATGAACCCTGCATCTAACAACTTCTTTACTTCCTCTTTAATTTTCAACAACATTTTTGGCTTCATTCTTCTCAACTTTTGCTTCACTAGTGGACATTTTGGCCTTAGTGGAATTGCATGAACTACTATCTTCGAACCTAATCCAGGCATATCTTCATAAGACCAAGCAAACACATCTTGAAACTCTTTTAACAAGTCAACAAGAGCTTTTCTTTTATCTAGATGCAACTGCCCATTGATCTTAATCTCCTTTTTATCCTCATTTGTTCCCAAATTAACTGTTTCTACTTCAGATAGATTAGGCTGCAATTTCAGTTCTTCTTCCTTCAACATTTCAGTCAATTAAGGAAAGGGTTCTAATTCTTTCATCATCTTCCACAGAATAAATTGATTCATCAAAACTATGTGTAAATTCAAGAATGATATCACTATTTGTAGATTTATTATCAGCAAACCTGGAGATGAAAATTTTGGCTAGCATGAGAAAATTGAATAAGCAAAAGGAAATGAATAGTTTTGCACACGAAGAGAGGGAATGAAAATGAAAGTAACATTGTTTATTGAAATGAACAGAATGGGAACATTATTTGTCATGCCTATAATGCTTCATAAAATATAAAAGGCTTGTTTTAACCATCTCTTCTCATGGTCACAAGCTCAACCACAAGAAGATTGACACATATTACGATTTAATGATAGGAACAAAAAGAATCTCTACTGTCTAGTTGTTTAAAGATTCACCTGAGTAGGCAGAATGACCTTGTCATCATCCCTCTCTTTATCAATGACGCATATGCTTAACTTCTCCAAAGAAGTGTTCAAACCATCATCATTTGTTGAAGCAAAAGATTTGAACAAATCAAAAGTTCCCATATCTTCATCATCTAATGCATCCTCTACGATCACCTCGTCCTTATAAGCAATTGGAACCCAATCAATTCTCAAATTCTCCTTTTTGAGAGTTTCATCCATTGGCTTTGTATCATATCCACACACAACTTCAACAAGTTTTGGAAATTTCACTCGAATATGAGGAATATGCAATTGTTCCTCATTTGGTTCTCTTCCTTCTAACTTAGCTCGACGCCTTTTAGCTTTCCTAGTCCTCATCCACAACCAATCCTTTCGAGTGGGCTTATATCCCAAGCCAAACCCCATTGATGTATCAATCACCTCAATTGGTTCTTCAATTCCTTGCAGTCCAATTCCTAAGCCCTTTCCAACTTCAAAATGATTTTCCAACATCACCTTAGCCACTCCCTTACTCACTCTAGAAAGATCTGGTGTTCTCAACACTGTGCCTTCTGCAACATATATGGTTGAGACAAACTCCATAGAGTGGTAAGTTGCTTCTTGGTTCTGAGAGTCTACTTCTACATATGGCACAGATGTCGCCTTATGGATAGCATAATCCTTTTCACCATTCACCATAACCAAAGAGTTGCCTACAATATATTTCAGCTTCTGATGCAAAGTAGAAGGTACTGCACCAGCCATATGAATCCAAGGCCTTCCAAGCAACATATTAAATGCAAGCTCAATATTCATAACTTGAAAAGTTAGGTCAAATGTATATGGGCCAATGTTGACTGGTAATTCAATCTCCCCATCTACCTCTTTCCTTGTGCCATCAAAAGCATAAACTACTGTCTTACTAAGCTTAATGTATGACTAGTCCGCCTGAAATTGATTCAAAACTGATCGAGGAATAACATTCAATGTCGAACCATTATCAATAAGCACTCGTGGCACATGCATATCTTTGCAAAAAACTGAAATATGAAGAGCCTTCACATGCCCTCTTCCATCTTCAAGCATTTCATCATCAGTAAAGTTAATAAAATTTGGTGCCAACATAGTCCCTATCACATTGTTGAATTTTTCCATATCAATATCCTTTGCCACATGAGCCTCATTCAAGATCTTTAACAAAGCATTTTGGTGAGTCTCTGATGCCAAAAAGAGTTACAAGATAGAGATCTTAGCAGGAGTGCGATTAAGTTGCTCTACCACATTGTACTCACTTCTCTTCAAAATGCTAAGCAAATCATTTATCCCTTGCTCTGAAACATACTTCTTGACTTGCTCCTCATGTATTTCCTCAATAATGATTCCTTTTTGCGATTCATTCCCTTTGCATTGACTTTCTCCATAACTATGCCCACTTCTAGTCATAAGAGCGATATCTTCAACAGGGAATTCCTATATGGAAACATAGGTACTAGTCCCACAATTCCAAGGGACAGCCTTATAAGAATTGAAGGTTGGTTTTGATGGTGGATAAAGAGTTAAGGGTGGTTGCTGAGAAGGTAAGGCTTGGTTACTTCCTTTTAAAATGAAGGGCTTCCTCGTACTTGCTGCAACAATTAGCCCTTTCAATATCAAAGGCTGTCTAGGAGTTGATAACAGTTGATTGGTAATGGTAAGTGCAGTCACCTTATGACCTCTATGAGAGTCTTTCTCAACATTCAAATCTTTTATTATCATGTTTATTGTTGGACCATCATGTGTAGGCAAGGGATTTTTAGCAATGTTTGGACCAACAACTTCAGGTTCTGATGCAATTTTCAACTCCTTTGCATCGATCAAATCCTGCACACGGTGCCTTAAAGCTAGACAATTTTCAAGATCATGCCCAACACCTCCACTATGGTATTCACATCTTGCCTGTGGGTTGTACCATGTTGGGAATGGTGATTTAACTGGCATCATGGGTACAGGAGTAACAAGACCAGCTGCTACCAATTGTCGAAACACTTCAGTGTATGATAAAGGAAGTTTATTGAAATGTCGTCTCACTCTTTCTTGTTGTGGACAATTGATCCCAGAGGCATAGAGTGGCCTTGGTTGACTTGTAAAAATTGGTGGTTGATAAATTGGAGCTTGGAAAGAATTATTGAATTGCCCTCGAGGGCATGGCTGATTATTTCTCCCATACATCTCATAAACTGAGCTAACGGTGCTAGTGTCATTTTCCTTCTTTTGATTCTGGCCAACTTTCCTTGAACTAGAAACCCCTGAACTACCATTTTGGTATTGTTTGAGGAGACTCTTCATTGCTTGATAATCAATAATAATCCCTGACTTGATTCCATCTTCCATTTGCTCTCCCACGATAACCAATAAGTGAAAGTGTAATTTACACAAGTCATCAACTTTTCTCGATAAGGCTCTTTAGTTGATTTAATGAATAAATTACTCAGTTCATGATCAGTTAGTGGCAGTTGAACTCGAGCAGCCAATCCACACCATCTTTGAGCAAATTCCTTAAAGCTTTCACTCGATTCCTTCTCTATTCTTTGAAGATCTTCTCTACTAAGAGCTAGTAATGTATTGTATTCATACTGCTTCATAAAATTGTAAGTCAAATCATGCCAACTTTTGACCTTACTTTTGTCTATAGTAGAGAACCAAGTATCTGCAGGACCTGTCAGACTGTCCTAAAAGTAATGTATCATTAGCTTCTCATCATTAGCATAAGGAGCCATCTTCCTACAATACATTGTCAAGTGGGCATAAGGACAACTAGTGCCATTGTACTTATCAAACTCAGGCAATTTAAACTTATGGGGCAATTGCATGTTTGGGAAAAAGCACAAAGATTAGATGTCAACCGGTTTATTGGTTTAGACACCTTGCATCAATTTTAGTGTTTCCTCCATCAACTGCACCTTCGCTTTAATTGCCTTGTCTTTATCCTCTGTGATTGACTAGACAACTTGAATCTCTTCTTGACCATTAGACTGAACTGTAGCAACACCAGCATTTAGAACAAATGGTTTTGTCCCAGAAGTTCCACCAATAATTGGATCAGGAGGGCCAGATGACATAGGCTCCTTCCCAAGTGTCACGCCCCAGAACCCAAATCCGAGGGCAAAACAGACACCGTGCACTCGTGAACAGGTCCCACAAATGCACAAGGCTCGAAACCTACTAAGTTCTTAATTTCCAATTCGGATAATTCAAATCTAAAAACTCAGGTAAAATCTAACTTTCCATTACCAAAAATTTACTAATCAAGATGTACAACAGTTTATAAACAGTTATGGCTATAACCAGGGAAACTCTATACACAAAAATGGTTATTTATGTCAACCATGTGAGACTAGCTGCCTAACTCCAAAAGATCTAAGTCCAAAATAATGCCTAGCCGTCAAGCTCGTCACTCCCCCGGCTCCCCATGTGTCAGGTATCACTACCTGAAATGGTGGGCAAGGAAAAACTAGGTGAGATAAAATATCTCAGTAAGTAAAATATGGATAGCCCGTGAATAAAATTTTAGCATGCCTGATAAACAGTTTAACATAACAAAACGTTCAATGATAAATCGCTAATGCAGAATCAAATTCAGTTCAATAGCAAAGCGTTCAATGACAAACCGTTTATGCAGAAGAAAATTCAGTAGTAGTCTTATCTATAAGTCATGGCCAGTGTTTAACAAACTCCCACTGGCAGACGTCAGTAATAACCAGTGTTTAACAACTCTTACTAGCAGACGTCAATAATTACCAGTGTTTAACAAACTCCCACTGGTAGGTGTCAATAATTACCAATGTATTCACCCATTGGCAAGCGTCAATAAGTACCAGTGTTTAACAAACTCCCACTGGCAAGCGTCAGTAATTACCAATGTATCATCCCATTGGCAGGATTACAGAATGAACCGGTCATATCAGTAAACATGTCGACATGTGCAAGAGTTTGCAAACTCCCACTAGCGGGCATCAATAATCATGACTATATTAGAGACAAAACTATGCAGGGTTTACAGAAATTCCGTAATTCACAATCAATCTCAAATTTCAGAAATAAATCGAAAAATTTCCATGTGAGCATGGATTTAACAAAAAAACTCAGAATTTACAAAATTCTCAGTTCATCAAGGCAGTTCAGTCCATTCCAAATAGGCATGCTCTACTCAATGCAAATGAAAACAATTTCATTTCAAACCAATCATGCTCGGTGCAAATAAAATCCATTTAAAATCAAGTTAAACCTTGCCACCATCTCAAAAACATTTTAAAACATACTTTAAAATCAGAGGGCATTACCATAATTTACTTACCTCAGATCGCACCAAACAAAACACTAATCCCATTCTAGAGTGCGGAATAATCAAGTACCTAATCAAAATATTTTCAAAATTAATACCTATATAAAACGACATATTTAATCCTTTCCAATTTAATCGGCAATTAGCCCCCATTATACCATATTTATTTATTTATTCATTTTTCTATCCAAAATCAAGCACAAAATCAATTGTGCATTTATATATTTGCATAATACACATCAAATTTTCCCATTTACTCACGGGCAGCACATGGAGAGCATGGCTTTGGCAAACCACAACTCACACACACGGGATTTTCTCTCCAGAACATCACAACAACCTACTTAAACTAACTTCTACATGAATTAAGCAAAATCATGGTCCCATTCACTGCTGAATCCCCTCCTATTCCCAGTAGAAAATTCGGACAACAATAGGGCAGCAATTCAACCATTAAAACTCAGCATGGCAACAATTAAATGGCTTAAAATTCAGCTTTAAAAGCGATTTCATACCAGAGAATTATGGCAAGCCAAATCGAGCCTGGCGGGTTCAAGGGCTGGCGGGAATTGGAGAAGAACCAATACCAAATTGGAAAGAAATAAGAGCAATTAGAGTGAACCCAAGCCAAATTAAGGGAGAAAAGATGAATTCCATGGTTGTTGCTTACCCAAAAACTGAGAAATTCACTCCCACACCAAGCTGAAACCGACAGCAGGGGAGGAGGAAGGTTACAAGATCTGAAATTTTCTTGCTTCAGGAGGCTTCTAGGTCCTAATTCTTGTTCTTGGACAAGAAAACAAGTGAAATATTTAAGCTTTTGCCAATTTTCCTCAAGAGAGGGCGGTCGGCAGCTTGGGTGGGGCTTGTCGGGGTGCAGGGGGGTCGGGAGGAAGAAGATAAGCAGAACACGTGACTGGGAAGAAGAAAGAAAGAAAAAGAAAAAAAGGGAAAGAAAAGAAAAAATCAGTCAATCCTTATCCTATTTCCTTTCTTATAAGTCCCAGAACTTTGAAAGTTTCTATTATTAAGGCCAACAACATTATTCTCTCACAATTAAGTCCATAACTCACCCTTAAATATCTTAGAAAATTTGGGGATATTACACCAAGAGTTAAAGCAAATGTGGCCACAGAGAGATTTGCCACCGGAACATTTCCTTCAAATAAAGGATTTGTTGTCAAAGGTGCTCTTGTGACTAAGGTTGCTTGAAGAGTTTGGAAGGAAGCCATCAATTCCTTCAAAGTATTCTCCATATTTTCAACACGATTTTCCAAAGCTACCTTCTCTAAATTAGCTTCGTCAGCCATCTTCCTTGCAAGAGCTCTAATGAGAATAGATGAACGAACTCTTGGATAATTATTTTTAGGACCAATCTTTCAACACCTGAAAAATATGAGCATTATTAACAAATTATGAATTTATCTAATTGGTATTTTAAAAGATAAGTTCCCAAAATTCCCATTAATGAGTAATCCTAACTTCTAATTATTTATTTTTATTTTTACACATGGATTCTTCATTGTCAAGAACAACTTCAGCCTTTTGTATGTAAAGGAAATGAGAAATTAGAGCCAAGCAATTGTCATGCCAGCCAGAAACATAAGGAGATTGCCCCCTTCATGATCTTTTGGAATTTTTTTTTTAGTAAAATAATAATAATAATAATAATGAGGAGATTACCTCCTTCATATCTTTTCTTCTTTTTATTGAGGAACTTGCTTTTTCTCAACAAATAAAATTCAAGAGAATGTGAAATTTGACTTCAAACTTTATTCTTTTATTTAAAATTTCAAATATAACAACTAGCAGATAACAATCATAAACTTTCACTTTTCTTTGTTTTTCCAATACTCTATTGTTTCAAGTTCATGTTCACAATAATCCCTTATCATCCTTGAAAGCCCTTCCACAAAATTTGAAGCCGCATCATGCTGATTTGGTGGAATAGTATGCTCAACCTTCATTGCTTCAGAGTAGACTCCATTGACCAAATAGAGCACCTTTCCTCCTGCTCTCTTTAATTAATCAATTGTAGCTAATGCCTCACTCAACTATCCATTTAAGCTTCTTACCTCTGCTTCCAATCTTCCTATCTTCTCACTTTGATAAACTTGTCGTGTTTGCATTAACGCCAATTTTTCCTTCATCAGTTCTTCATTATTTTGAGCTTCCTCATGTTTTTGCAACAATTGTAATTTATTATCAAGCAAATTCTCCACTTCATTTTCAAAACCCTCAAGTAGATCAATCTCACCCTGCTACTGGTTTATTAGAGTCTTTAAATTGGCACGCTGATCTTTGACTTGATTGAGCTCATCCTCCAACTTGTTTTTATCACTCATTAAATGATCATTTTGCCTTTCTTCCTTCGGGATGATTCTTCTTAATTTTTTAAGAGTTTGAGCCTGCTTGTCAATTTCTTTCTCTACCTCCTCTTTTTCAAAAGTTATGGAATTCTTTTCCTTAATCAATTTTTGCTTCTCACCTTCCAGAAAATAAATGTCCATATTTTTCTCTCTAATTTAGTTTTCATGCTTGACCCTTTAAGCACACGACAAAGCTTCTAGCTCTGCTATTCTTTTCTTCAAATCCACAATGATAGCTTCTTTAATGATAGGAATGTCATAAGGGATAACTATGTGTTGAAGCCAAACTTTCCTCCATTCTTCAAACTCAAAAGTGACTAAAATCTTGTTCCTTGAGAAACGAACTTCACATTGTGACCATACTTCCTTGGCAAAGCCAATTTGATTAATTACTTGAGTATCAAGAGAATAATCAAACCCATATGAAGTGATACCATCTAGCAATGGTTTACTTTGCCTATCACGAAATTGCCTCATCACTAATGCTGAACTATAGCTAATAGCTCCTCGAATGCCCAATAACGGAATCCAGTTATGGCCACGTGGAGGATAAAAGTAATCAGTAGACTTCAACCATGTCACACACCAGACTATGTCTTCGAATCTCAAGTTCAAGAATTGTTGATGCCATTGGTCAACCATTTTCTTTTCCAATTGATTCTCTTTTTGCAAAATTCCAAACTCCTTAATTGTGGAGACATTTACCTTTGATAAATGCGCATGTATCCATATTGTAAACAAACTAGCAGAGCATGTGAATCTACCCTTGCCATGAGCTTGAATATAGTCAGCATTGCGTAGAGTTTCAGCAATTAAAATCCGAGCAACATTAAGATTTGGATTCTTGATCAACTGCTCGAACATGGCTACAACCGATGAACTAATACTATCCATATTAGTGGGCAAAATAACCATTCCATATATACCTAAGGCAACAAAATTTAACCAGTCCTCCTCAGAAAGTGAACTTAGATCAAACTTTAATTTGGAATACATCATGTTCCAATTAACTCCCCAAACTTCATTTTTCTTCATAATGCAACCTTTTGTGAACTCTAAAGGAAAGCTCAAAATCTTTTGTAGTATGGACTGAAATTGTAACTTATTTAATTGAAAGTTAACAGGGTTTGGGACATAAACTTCTGAACTCATTTCTGGGCGATTGAACAATAACTGAAAATATTCTTCAATGGTAGGTACCAACTCAAACTCAAGAAAAACAAAGCAACAAAGATGCGGGACATAAAATCTTAAGCTTGCCCTAATGATTTCCCAGTCTAGCTCTACTTGCAGCACATCAGCTATTCTACCAAATTTCTTGTCAAACCTCACTTTGTCAAGATTACTCAAACTATTCCAAGCAGCAACCAAGTCTTTTACATAAGATCTTTTGGTCTGCACAGAGAATCCATCCTTGTGTGACTTGTTCTTCTTGGATAATGGTGGACATTCTAACTCTAAATTCATCCTTTTTCCCTTACTGATCTTTTTCTCCAAAGAATCCATGTGTAAAATAATCAATTACCTTTTTTTTTTAAAAAAAAAAAAGAGTTAATGAATGTCATACCTCTTGGTCGAATTCCTCACCTAAGAAAAACAAAATCATTGTTTAAAAATAAAATACTCCCAACGTGTCCTATGTATAAGGTTCTTAGACTTTGAAGGCGATTTACTAGGCTGGCCGTCCTAGGGTTAAGTTTTGTCTAAGTTCATTACATGCGGTTTCCTAGTGGATCCTATACGATTAGGCTTTTTCAACTGCTAACTTCCATAAGTCAACAATTATTGACTTCCATAAAGTCAATAATTGCCAACTTCTATAGAGTTAACAAGAGGCATTTCATGACCTAATATAGCAGCAACATTATGGCTGTCAGGCCATATTAACCCACAAAATGAACCTAAAAGGGATAAATCTCACTTCACAAAGAAAGCATTGTGCTTTTCATTGCTCCATGAGTTATCCATCTATCTAGAGGTCGGGTTCACCTCGTCAAGGACAAAAATGATATGCAAGTGAGGTGTGTGAGGGAGTATACACAAAGTTAACATATGAAAATAACAAAATATTAATAAAATAACAAAATAAAAAAAACTTACAAGATACTCCATGCCACCTACAAAACAAAAGTTAGTAATTGAAAAACCCCAAAATTAAAGTATAAATGGCTTGACCCCTCAATGGTTCCCAGTGAAGTCGCCAAACTGTTAATGTGCCAAAATGGATGGAGTCGCCATCTATACAAATGAGGTGGGATAGATCCCCAAGGCCTTTGTAGAAATTGACTAAGCTCGGAGGGTCGGTTAAGTGTGGGGAAGGTATTAGGCACCCCATAAACTTTCATATTTATATGGTTACCACATACTTTAATTTTGGGGTATTTTTCAATTTTTATAAAATAATAATTACCAAATAAAATAAACAAAAAAAAACTTCAAAAAAAAATCACTTCAAAAAAAGAAAAAAAATTCCTCAATCATTTTTTTTATTCTCCGTTTCTTTTTTTTTTCTTCCTTTTTCCATTTCTTTTTTTTTTTTTTTTTTCTTTTTTTTTTTTTTTGACTTTATTTTCGTTTCTATTTTTTCCTCCTAATGCCTAAACCCCACCTCATATTTCCTAAGAGATTTTCTTTTCCCAAATCCTTTTTCCTATTATTGTATAATAACATATCCTAAAAAAACTCATGCATAACATCAAGTTAACTTTTCCTAAACAAGAAAATTCTGCCAGTGACTATTTTGCATCACAGGAAACAAAACTAATGTGGGAGAAGCAAGTAAAATCATGTTGCAGCAGGGACACAACCAATTCTTTCTTCTCCGCCCTTCAAGTTTCCAGCCTTTATAAAAAGTAGTCCATTGCCTTCTAATTTTATCATTTAGCCCCAATTAAAATTATGTTATGACAACACCAATTCATTTTATAGAAATTAATATAAATCTCTTTGGTCCTCTATTCATCCCAAAAGAAAGTACAAACTCAAGCATATAACATATGTTAATCAAACACTAATAAGACTCAATATCATGGAAAAAAACTAGTTTCTTTGAACCTAAAGCCCAATGCAATTTACAGTTTTATATCTTCTAGAAACCAAACTGGAAGTCATATTTCTATTGCTTTAAAAAATAATAGAAATTCACATACCTATGTTCAAAGTGTTAATTTAAAAAAAAAAAAAAAGAAATTGCTAATTGACTACCACACTAAACCTTTAATTTGTAGCTTTGATAAAAAAAACTTCCAAATAATTAATCTTGCCAATTGTAAACCCTAAGTGTGTCTTTAGTAGCAAGCCCCCATCGACCTCCAAAGTGATGCACTCAACTATAATAGCTAGTAAGGCACAAATTGATTGTACCTATGGCATTTTCCCTCTACACCTTTAGAGATAAAGATAAAGATGGAGATGGAGGTAAAAAAAGAAGGCAAACTGGTGGGAGAATGAAGTGTTTCCAGGTCATAGGTTTTTGTTTTCTAAAATCTAACCATTTTTTATCCTCCCATTAGTTACACACATTGTTAAACTTAACTCCATCCATAGAACTCCCATTAGTTTGTTTTAAAGTGATGTGGCAATTAATACCATGTGGAGTGTTTTCAATGGGTGAAGGGCACTACCAACATGGTGCCCCCATTGCATTGAAGACTTTCTCCATCAAATATAACCTATTAGTTTATACTTTTCTAGTAATGATTATTAAATTTATAGTTAGCCAATGTGCACCAAAAACTTAAGCCAAGGTTTGGGACACCATGGTGACATTCATAAAAAATTTTCACTTTCCCCAAAAGTTCTTTACCTTCAAAAAAAATAAAACCAAAGGAAAAAATGATAAAAATAAAGTTAGAAGTGAAAGATTTCGAGGAAGGCATAGCTTGGTATCTATTGTTTGGTATGATGGTTAAAATTCAACAAATAGTGGATAGTGGGTAAAGAATGACAATTAGTGCTAATTCCAAATCACTAAATAAGAATTTTTACTAAATACATTGTTTATAATGGTTTCAAAATTTATAAGTGTAATATCCCAAAATTTCTAGAATATTAAAGTTGAGTTGGGGATTAATTTGTGAGGAAATATTATTAATGGCCTTAATAATAGAAAACTCCAAAGTTGAGGGACTTAAAAGAAAGGAAATGAGATAAGGATCAGCTGCTTTTTCTTTTCTTTTTTTTCTTTCCTTCTTTTCTTCCTCATCAGGCCGTGACTTGCTCTTCTTCTTTTTCTCCCCGACAAGCCCCCCTAGCCACCGACGCACTTCTCTTGAGAAAGTTGGCAAAGCTTGATGGATTTACCTTCTTTTCTTGTTGAAAGCCGAACTTAGACTTGGAAATCTCCCTTTCCTGCAGAAAATTTCCAGATCTACTCGGTGTCTCTTCCTCCCCTGTCCGTCGGGTTCTGCTGGGTGTGAATCCTTCAGCTTTTTTTGGTAAGCCACAGCCAAGAAATCATCTCCTTAGCCTTGATTTAACTTGCGTTGCTCAAATTTTTGGTTGTGGTTCTTGAATTTTGGGTAGTTTCCGTG